ACTACCGGTTTGAACCTCCCCCCCCCCGCGCTCACCGCCAGCAAACGACTCTCGGGTTCCTACCACCGTCCGCACCACATCTCCCACTGCTGTCCCCAGCACCACTGTCCTCACCACCACTGTCCCCACTGTTCCCACCACCGTCCCCACTGTCCCCACCAGTGCCCCCACCACTGTCGCACTCTCCCCCACGGATCCACTCTCCCCACTTTCTTCACGGCCCCAACCACTGTCCCACTGTCCCCACTGTCCCACTGTCCCCGCCGCTGTCCCACTGAGCTGTCCCACTGTTCCCACCACTGTCCCCACCACTGTCCCCACTGTACCTCTGTCCCATTATCCCACCGCCGTCCTCGCCACCGCCCCCACCACTGTCCCCACCTCCCACTGTCCCCACACCACTGTCCCCACCACCACCGTCCCCACCACTGTCCCACTGTCCCCACTGTTCCCACCATTGTCCCCGCTGTCCCCACCAGTGCTCCCACCAGTGTCTCACTGTCCCCACTCTCCCCACCATTGTCCCACCACGGTCCCACTCTCCCCACTTTCACCACGGTCCCCACCACTGTCCCACTGTCCCCACTGTACCCACCACTGTCCCACTGTCCCCACCGCTGTCCCTCTGTGTTGTCCCACCGTCCCCACACCACCGTCCCCACCACTGTCCGCACCACTGTCCCACTGTCCCCGCACCATTGTTCCCACCACCACCGTTCCCACCACTGTGTCCCAGCATCCCCACCATTGTCCAACTTTCCCGAGGAGCGGGAATCGTTTGCCGGCGGCGAGGGGGGGGGGTTCGAACCGGTAGTGACCCCCCCCAATTTTCGACGGGAGGGGGGGGGGTCGAACCGGTAGTGACCTCCTCAGTTTTCGAGGGGGGGGGGGGTCGAACCGGTAGTGACCCCCCCCCCCCCTTTTCATGATGGACTGGGGGGGTGGGGTTCGAACCGGTAGTGACCCCCCCCCCCCGGAATTCGTGGGAGGGGGGGGGGGGAACGGGTTGGGAACCCCCAGTGACCCCCCCCGGTTTTCCGCCAGCAACGGTAGAACACGCTCTTTCGAATATTTTGTCCATGTGTGTGCTGGAGGCTAATTACACGGTTTCCCCCCAGGAGGAGGAGGAGGAGGAGGAGGAGGAGGAGGAGGAGGTGGTGGTGGTGGTGGTGGAGGAGGGGGAGGGGGAGGAGGAGATGGAGGAGGAGGAGGAGGAGGAGGGGGAGGGGAGGAGGAGGTGGTGGTGGTGGAGGAGGAGGAGGAGGAGGAGGAGGAGGAGGAGGAGGAGGAGGAGGAGGACGGGTCGCCTAAGCCCTTCGGAGTAACCCCCCACTGGATGGGGTGGCGAGGGAGGGGGCGGCTACATGCGAGGCCTCCGCGGGGCGGCCCTGTCCGGCGCCGTGGGGGAGGCAGGGGCCGCGCGCCTGCTCCGAGGGGCTCGGGTCCCTGGCCTGAGCGCGCGGGGGCCCTCTGAGACGAAGCCAGGGCGAGGACGAACTCCTCCTCCTCCTCCTCCTCCTCCTCCTCCTCCTCCTCCTCCTCCTCCTGATCCTCCTGCTCCTTCTCCTTCTCCCCTCCTCCTCCATTCCTTTTCCTTATATAGGGGGGACGCACCCAGACCTCCAACATCGACGAATAGAAAACAGTCCCCCGATCCCAAAATGAAGACGAAGCCAGGACGAGAATAACATCGGGTGAGGATGAATCGAGAATCTCTGAGATCCGGCGGCCCTGGAGGATGCCTCTGGCGCCGCGGCCTTCTCAAGGCGTTCCGGAACGCTCGAGCGTTCCGGAACGCCCTGCAACGGATCTACCATGTCCTACATAGACCGACCGAGGGGGTGGGGGGAAAGGCGGCTCTCCCCTCAGATCCGGGCCTGGCGGCTTGATCACGACAGGCGTTTTTGCCTGGTCTCGGGCCCCGGGACCCTCACAGATCGATCCGGCTTGGAAAATGGTTCAGAACCGTCGTGATTTTCGCGACGTTGTAATTTTTCCGCTGCGTCGGATCACAGGGTCCCAGACCAACTCGGGCCGTGACAAAAACAAAACCTTGCCAAGCACCCTGATGGCAGCGAGGGTGAAGAGGCGGTTCGAGGAGTCAGTGGTCGGCTAGTGAAAACGGGACAGGGGTGGCCATGTGCACTTCGCGTTTTTTTTTATCCTATATCGAAGCAGTCCATGTCAACAGTGTAGCCATTAAGGCGAGAGCATGATTCCACAATGAATCGTGAGGAAGTCTCAAACGAAACGGCTGCCAGACCGAGTGGTCTAGGGCTCCCCGTTCCCTCTTTGCTGTGGGACTTTTCTGCTGTCCTCGTTCACCACTGTGAGAACACTCCAGCGAAGCGCTACTTTGGAGAATCATGACGGAGGGTTTTGTGCTACTTTCCGCCACGGGGCCCTCCTCGCCAGGCCCCAGGACCGTCCAAGAACAACTCGAGAATGAAAAGCCAGTCCCGGGTTTCCGGTCGAGACTTCTGGGGGTCCACGTGATGGAAAAATCATGACGTGAAGGGTCTGGACATCGAGGAACGAGGACCGAGGCTCCTCCATCGAGAATCCAGGATCCTCGCACCGAGGATCGCGTCGAGGGGAGCTCCAGAGGCCATCTGCGCCTAAACTTCCGACCTTCCGCGATGAAAAACCGGCCCCGGGATTGGGACGAGACCTCAGGGGGCCCACCTCTGAGGGCTCAGGTCCTCGCCTCGAGCGCGCGGGGCGGAAGAGGCCACCTCCTCTTCCTCCTTCTCCTCCTCCTCCTCCTTCTCCTCCTCCTTCTCCTCCTCCTCCTTCTCCTCCTCCTCGTGCTCCTCCTCCTCGTGATCCTGCTCCTCGTGATCCTGCTCCTCGTGATCCTCCTCCTCGTGATCCTCCTCCTCCTCGTGATCCTCCTCCTCCTCGTGATCCTCCTCCTCGTCCTGCGCGTGATCCTCCTCCGCCTGCGCCTCCAAGTGATCCTCCTCCTCCTCCTCCTCCTCTTCCTCCTCCTCCTCCTCCTCCTCCTCCTCCTCCTCCTTCGCGTCTCTCGATGATCCTATCCCGGTCGGGCGGACAGCAACGGGGGGCACCCAACGAAGGGGGAAGCGAGGACTGCAGGAAGGTGGCCCTGGAGTGGCCCTGGACGGCCCATGAACTACCCACCGAGCGCCCAAGAGGTGCACGAGAGGTGCACGTTTCTTCGGGCGTCGTCGTCGTCGTCGTCATTGTTGTCGTCATCATTGCCCCCCCTTGGCATCGCTCGGACGTCCATTCCCTGTGTTTTTGTTCGGTTTCGTGCGTGGTTTTTTCGCCAAATCATCAAGGATGCTCCTCGATGGTCCTCGCCGAAGGAAAGATGCACACGTTCGAGCGATGCCAAGCCCCTGTCCAAGGACACCCGATCCGAGGAGATGACTCTTCAAGCCAGGCGCTTCTCTCGCCGGGCCCCAGGGCCATCAGACACGGACCCGGGGTGCAGAGCTGCCCCCGAGGAAGGGGCCGGGACCTCTGGAGCCGTGGATTGAGCACATCCCGGCGTGCTCCTCTGTTGTCATCGCTTCTCTTTGTCGTGAGTTCCTGCTCCTCCTTCCTTCTCTCCTCATTTCCATGCAGTTGCTGAGCGCGCTGAATAGCTCAACTCATCCAACTGATTTGCATTACCGCCTCCACTAGGAACCCCGTGGCATACGAATCTTCCAGTTGCAGTGTCATGTTCACATTGGTGTCCGACTCGAAGATGGATCTCTTCAATGGTGGATGGGGCAAAAGAATCTCGATTTCGGCTTCTGCGCTGGGACCATCAAAAACCGATCCGCTACCGACACCGCTACTGCCCGGACCTCCCCCCATCTCCAGGACGAGTAGCGGTCAGGACTGGTGGGGAGCGTGGCCTCGCGGCAGCGCGGTGCCGTCTTGCTCTGGTGTGTTTGCGCGGCGTGAGTGGGGCGGGGGCGCCTTGAGACTGGAGCGATGAGGTCAACGCCAATAGGGAGGCGGTGAGAGGTGCAACAATTCGTTTGCGCGAACTATTGCGCGAACTATTGCTGGGGTCACGAACTGATATTTCGTTAGAGAGAATACACGGTTGCACCCATGCGCAACCATTGCGTCCAAAGCGCAAACTATTACAGTCATGCAAGAACTACTGCAAGCACAAATTGACCCTACTCCAGCCCCCCCATATGTGCTATCCCTAGCGCCCCAGCTTAGAGTGCCGCGGTGGCGTGGGGTCAGGTGAGCGACGAAAAGATCTGGGCCTTACGCGAGATGGCATGGCCACCTCACGCGGTGCCGCCAGCGCGGAAAGCTGCATTGCGACCTTGCGCGGGAAGCTTACGCGCGAATGGTCACGCAATCAAGCCCCCTTTTTGTTACGTCGCTCAGGTGTGGGCAAGCTGCGAACCCGCTGCGAACCCGCTACGAATCAGTTGCAAGTCCATTGCGAGTCACACGTATACCACCCATGGGTGATCCATAACTCAAGCGCGAGTCGGTTACGTCCAACGTCCATTTGCGTCTTGGATGGATGGATGCAAGAATGCATGGACTGACTGATGTAACACCTGATGAAAGATGAATGCACGGAAGGAAGCCTAAATGTGAAGACGTAGTGGTGGAATCTGACTCCACCCACCCGTAACCTCCATGCAGTCTGCAGGCAAGTTTCCAACGCAAGAATCTACGATGAAATCTGGACGTGAATCAAGGCCGAGGCAAACGAGATACACCTTCTCACTGGTTACCTCGCTCCGCACTGCACAGCAACCTCGCTTTTTTTTCCGAACGTATCCATAATTATAAGCAGCAATGATTATCAATGTGTCAATGAGTGTGCCCCCACAGTCAGAGGAGCACAGTAACAACACCCTGCCCAGCACCAGCCACTGACCGGTCGACGGCCGCCCTGGCCATCTACGCGCCCGCAAGTCGCCATGCCGAAACAAAAAGCACCGGGCGCCGCGCTGCACGGGCTTTGCAGCACGCAGCCTCCGGCCGCCGCTCAGACCGCCCCCGCGGGCTCAGGGGCGCGGCGAGGGCATGCCGGGCATGCCCGCCTTGCCCATCATGGCGGCCAAGTTCGGCATGGTGCCGCCCAGGCCCGGCATGCCGCCCAGGCCCGGCATGGCGGGCAGCCCCCCCGGCTTCGCCAGCGCCGGCATGCCTGGCAGGCCGCCGAGGCCCGGGAAGCCGAAGCCCGGGAGGCCGCCGGGGCGCATGCCGGGCAGGCCCGGGAGGCCCGGGAGGCCCGGCATGCCCGGGAGCATGCCGGGGGGGCGAAGGCCCGCAAGCCCGGGCAGGCTGCCCATCAAGCCGGGGAGGCCCGGCGGCGCCGCCGCCTTCGCAGGTGCCTGGGGAAATCCAAACGTATAGCTATATCGCTACTCCCTGGGCGAGTCTCCCGGGGTACGTTCTGGCCGGAATTTTTCGAGCGAGGCGAATCCCACGGTGGAGACAAGGGCCTCCCATGGGAGGCCCCAAGAAGGGAAAGCGAGGCGGGGGTAGTGGTACGGGTGCCTTTTCCTCCTCTGAGTGCCTTCGCTGTCGCCTTGACCTTCTTCGGCTTGTCCGTCTCAACGAGCTCGTCCTTGCCCATCTCCTCCGGCTGGACGTACAGGATGTTCTGGCCGCGGAGCACGATGAAGCCGAGCATGCGCTTCAGCTCCTTGCCCTCGGGCTTGCCCTTGACCTTGTACTTGCGGTACTCCTCAGTATTGCACAGAACAAGATTCACGTGACGATCCACGGCCATGAGCACGCCAACCAAGACGCGGCCATCAGTCAACGTCACGCTCACGCGCCAATTATAGAAATTCGCCAGGCGGCGGCGGACCTGCTTGACCTTGCCCATGGCTGGCGCGTGACGCGCTGCTCCCTGCACACCCTTGAGCCGGGATGGCTATGGAGAGTTATTCAAGCAATGGTCGGGCATTTTTGGAGTCTGAAGGGTAAGCCTATAATCTATGAAGTCGATCACAATGATACGATAGATCACGCCGCATCGGATGGCCTGAGATCTTCCTGGGATTCGCCCTACTCGCGGCACCCCACGCTAGATATTCGAGCGATCTTCCTTGAACCAAGTAGTCGACGAGAAAGCGTGCAAAGTGCACGCGAGCACGCGTGCATGCACAGGAGAGTGCACGCATGCAAGCGAGCGCACTCACTATTCTACGACCATGGGAGCAACAAATTGTAGCAACGGGCCAAAGCACAGACCGCGACGGTACAGTAATAGTTCGCACTGTACTTTCAATTGTGTTTTTGCAAAGCAGACCGCTGGGAAAGACACGTACTCTTTGAAGCGCCAAAACGTAACCACATCAGGCCCCGCAGCCTACCGCTCTGTTTCAAAACGTTCTGTCATTTCCGTCCGTCCTCTCCATACTCCGCCACCGCGTTGGACGCGGTACATGTGATCAAGATGTGCCAGACGTCATTTACTCTGTACGCCGTTCGGTCCCGTTCGGAGACATAGCTGGCGACCCCTTCCCATCAGAAAGTCACCTGGGCACCTTTCTGGAACGGGTCCTATGGCATTTGTGCAGAGGCCTCAAGGATCGTACACAAGAAGGCTTCCACAAGAAACCCAACCCTGAGACCCCATCGCAAAAACATCGACATCCAGGAAACCCAGGGCACCCTGGAGTCCATCAGTGTGTTTCTTGGCATGGGTTCTCACAGTTACGCAGTCTTCGTGGCAACCTCGAGGTCTTCGCGGCCCCGGGGCACCTGACCCGTGCTCTCTCTTTGCCCAGACCGCGCCAACACTTGGCCCACTGCCAGCTCCTGGTGCCCTGAGGCCCAGCACTGGCCCAAGAGCTCCCAAGATCCACCGTGGTGCCACCAAAACGATATGTATGTATCGGAGGTTGGGGGGTGAGATCGAACTGGAACGGAGAGCCCCCCTACCGGGAAATCGATTTCGGTTTCGTGTTCGTGCGTGCCGTGCGTGCCGGCGAGGCGAAGCTGCGTGGGCGGGCGAGAGGAAAGTCTCCTGTGGCTGAGGCGCGGCCGGACCAAATTATTCTCCACCGGGGCGCGAGGCCGCGCGGTGTCCCGCCGGTGTCCCGGTGGTGTCCTCTGTGGCTGAGGCGCGGCCGCACCAAATGATTCTCCACCGGGGCGCGGGGCCGCGCGGGGTCCCGCCGATGTCCCGCCGTTGTCCCGTCGGTGTCCCGATGATGATGATGATGATGGTGATGATGATGATGATGATGATGAGGATGATGATGATGATGTTGATGCTGATGATGCTGATGACGAAGATGATGATAATGATGCCGATGATGTTGATGATGATGATGATCGTGATGGTGATGGTGGTGATGGTGAGGGTGCCCCGATGATGATGATGGTGATGATGATGTTGACGATGTTGATGATGATGGTGATGATGATGGCCATGGTGGTGATGATGATGGTGCCCCGATGATGATGCTGTTGATGATGTTGATGTTGATGATGATGATGACGACGTCCCGATGATGATGTTGATGATATTGATGATGTTGATGATGATGAGATGATGCCTGTGAGGATGATGAAGATGATGATGCTGATGATGATGATGATGGTGTCCTGGTGGTGATGGTGATGATGAGGTTGATGATGATGCGTTTGATCATGATAGTGATGATGATGATGGTGTCCCGATGATGATGCTGATGATGATGATGACGATGATGGTGTCCCGATGATGATGATGATGTTGTCTATGAGGATGATGATGAAGTGATGTTGATGATGATGATGGCCCGGGGATGATGGTGCTGATGTTGATGAGGTGTCCCGATGATGATGATGATGATGTCGATGATGATGATGGTGATGATGATGATGGTGTCCCGATGGTGATGGTGATGATGAGGTCGATGGTGATGCTAGTGATGCTGATGATGGCTTCCCGATGGTGATGGTGTTGATGATGTTGTTCATTATGATGATAAGATGAGGGTGATGATGATGATGAGGATGCTAATGATGATGATGATGCTGATAAGAGTGGTGTTCCAATGCTGATGCGGATGATGGTGTCCCGATGGTGGTGTTGATGATGATGGTGACGATGATGATGATGATGATGTTGACGATGTTGATGGTGATGATGATGGTGGTGATGATGGCCATGGTGGTGATGATGACGGTGTCCCGATGATGATGCGGTTGATGATGCTGATGTTGATGATGATGATGACGTCCCGATGATGATGTTGATGATCCTGATGATGTTGATGATGATGAGCTGATGCCTGTGAGGATGATGAAGATGCTGATGATGATGATGATGGTGTCCCGATGGTGATGGTGATGATGAGGTTGATGATGATGCTGTTGATCATGATAGTGATGATGATGATGGGATGATGGTGTCCCGATGATGATGATGCTGATGATGATGATGACGATGATGGTGTCCCGATGATGATGATGACGTTGTTAATGAGGATGATGATGAGGTGATGTTGATGATGATGATGATGATGGCCCGAGGATGGTGATGCTGATGATGATGAGGCGTCCCGATGATGATGATGAGAATGATGCCGATGCCGATGATGATGATGGTGATGATGATGATGGTGTCCCGATGGTGATGGTGATGCTGAGGTTGATGATGATGCGGTTGATGCTGATGATGGCTTCCCGATGGTGATGATGTTGATGATGTTGTTCATGATGATGATGATGATGAGTGTGATGTTCCGGAGCTGATGCTGATGATGGTGACGCGATGATGATGTTGATGATGATGGTGACGATGATGGTGCCCCGATGCTGATGATAATGGTGATGATGATGATGATGATGGTGATGAGGTGCTGGTGATGATGGTGTCCCGATGATGGCGATGATGATGATGATGTTGATGATGATGCTGATGACGTTGATGACGATGATGTTGATGATGATGACGTTGATTGTGAGATCGATCGTGACATCGATGGTGAGATCTGTAGTGAGACCGGGTGTGAGATTGTGAGATCGATTGTGAGATCGATCGTGAGATCGATAGTGAGATCGATTGTGATATCGATAGTCAGATCGATTGTAAGATCGATCGGATGAAGTAGATCGAGTGAGATCGATGGTGAAATCGATCGAGTGATATCGATCGAGTGAGACCGGTCGTGAGATCGATAGTTAGATCGATAGTGAGACCGATCGAGTGAGACGTTGGTTCCTCCCCCCCCCCGAACCTCCTTATCACCCGAAGGGTGGTCGTATAAGTTGTATATATATATACATATATATATATAATATTATATATATATATATATCGGAGGTTGGGGGGTGAGATCGAAGTGGAACGGAGAGCCCCCCTACCGGGAAATCGATTTCGGTTTCGTGTTCGTGCGTGCCGTGCGTGCGGGCGAGGCGAAGCTGCGTGGGCGGGCGAGAGGAAAGTCTCCTGTGGCTGAGGCGCGGCCGGACCAAATGATTCTCCACCGGGGCGCAGGGCCGCGCGGTGTCCCGCCGGTGTCCCGGTGGTGTCCTCTGTGGCTGAGGCGCGGCCGCACCAAATGATTCTCCACCGGGGCGCGGGGCCGCGCGGTGTCCCGCCGGTGTCCCGGTGGTGTCCCGTCGGTGTCCCGTCGGTGTCCCGATGATGATGTTGATGATGATTATGATGATGATGGTGATGATGATGGTGATGATGATGATGTTGATGATGGCGATGATGATGATGATGATGATAATGATGATGATGACGACGTCGATTGTGAGATCGATTGTGATCGGAGGTTGGGGGGTGAGATCGGAGTGGAACGGACAGCCCCCCTACCGGGAAATCGATTTCGGTTTCGTGTTCGTGCGTGCCGTGCGTGCGGGCGAGGCCCCGTGCGCCCACCAGTACAGGCTAGGCTTTGCCAGCCGCTCTCTCCGAGCGCGCCCCGTTCCTTCGGGCGGCCGCGCGGGCTCGCCGCCGCGGCTGGAAGCGAATCGAAAAACTGGGGCGTCTGGGCCCGTGGAGTTCGGCCGTATACATAAAAAGGGATACGCCGACAGGACGCCGGCGCGGGCCCCTGGGAAAGGTTCCGGTTCTGTTTTGAAGTTGGCGCCGAGGTTCGGTCGAGGTTTCCTGGCCCTCGGAGGCCCTGCTCGCCGCCGCGGCTGGAAGCAAATCGAAAAACTGGTGCGTCTGGGCCCCTGGAGTTGGTCCGTCTACATAAAAAGGGATACGCCGACAGGACGCCGCCGCCGTCGCTGTCGCAGCAGTTCTCATCAATTGTATTTGCACCATGTGCAACCCGACAAAGGGAGGGAGAGGAGCCTCAGCAGGCCTCCGAGAAAAAAACCTCCACTGGCATCGTCAGGAGAACAATCACCACTGTTGCCGATTGCTCGGCCCCTCCACCCCCCCCAAACCTCCTTATCACCCGCAGGGTGGTCGTATAGGTATATATACACCTATGCGACCGCCCTGCGGGCGATAAGGAGGTTTGGGGGGGATTGAGATCAAATGCCCACCCTCACTGACCTCCAGCCTGTCACCTTGGATAAGATGGATTGGATTGGACAACGTGGATTGGACAAGATAAGCTGGATTTGATAAGGAAACCCGCCGCAGGCGCCGACAAAAATGAATTGATGGTTTGGGTTGGGTGGGTTGGATTGGATGGGATAAGATGGATTGGAAAAGATAAAGTGGGTTGGATTGGAAGAGATGGATTTGATAAGATCAGATGGACTGGATTGGCCCGCCGCAGGCGCAGAAACAAATACATTGATGGATTGGGTTAAGTGGATTGGATTGGGTGGGAAACTACAAGATGGGACAATATGGGTTGGATAAGATAAGATTGATTGGATTGGACAAGATTGATCGGATAAGGTAAGCTGGATTGGATAAGAAAGCCCGCCGCAAGCGCCGGAAAAAATGAACTATGAAATTGG